GGATATGACGCACTACGTTGACAGAAATGTTGAAATTAAATATTACTTATACACATTTTTACAGCATTTAAAAACGTAAAGATTGTTTTTTCTTCTACAGAAACCACATTCAAACTAGAAATAAAATATAGCCCTCACACTCCATTTTCAGACATGTTTGAAAAGGCTCCAGGAGCCACTCCAGGAGCACTCAAGAGCCGCATGCGGCTCCGGAGCCGCGGGTTGCCGACCCCTGTTCTAGATGAAAACCTATTGTTTCATCCGGTTTCTCCTGGGTGTTTAATCACAAGGAATGTAATTGTTTTAGATCACTTTCACGATTACTTAACCCTCCAAGGTCTAGGGTCATTTTGGGGAACCTTCCTCGCCTGGTTTTCTTTGTGTATAATTGCTCATAAAACAGTCATTTTTTGATGCAGAGTCAAGCAGTATACTTTGTTTTTTTCAGTACAACCTGGGGTTTTAGAATATCTATATTTTAGAGCTGTCATATCAATTATATAACAAATTTGGAGTCATGAAGACAAAAGAAAAAATCGAACGGAAAATCAATTTCACAAATGTATTGAAAAAACAGAATGAAATGCTATAAACAACTTTTTAGACTCCATAGAAATGTGTTTTATGGTCTTGGGGATAATGGGGAAAAAAATTGTATAAAAACTATTATACTTTTTACAAAATTCCTCTATAAAAGCCAAAAACGCTGTAGCAGTTTGTCTATGAGGCTGTGGTTGCTTCTGTATCACAGCTGTAAAATATGTAAAAAAAAAAAAAAACAAAGACAAAAAAAAACCAAAACATCTAATTTATACATATAAATACATTATATACACATAATATAATTTTACTGTATTTATTATTGTCTATTCTCAATAATGCGAACTCCTCTGGTTCCTCTGAGCGCTGCTGCCTATGCTGCAACAAGTAAACACAGAGGAGTGAGAGATCTCACTCTCTGACAATCTTTGTCTGAGTCCCCGTGTGTGTAAACAACTTTACATGCGGCTGTGCCTGGCTCACGGGGCACCGCTTGAAGATCCGATTGGGGGACTGACTTTCATACACACGTAGTTTATCCCCCGTATGTAGCAGAGAAAAACCGAAGGCAGTTTCGGAAAGGCTGTAATGTGTACTTCACGGAGATAAAAAAAAGTACGTCACTAGCGTTCACCATTCGCGAGTAAATTATACAGTCTATGATAGTCCCCAACTATCTAAAGATAAACCCCGTTATCCCGGCCCAGACTGCCTGCACTATAGTCCCCGACTATTTAAAAAGGATAATCCCCGTTATCCCAGGCCTTTTTTAATTTGAATCCCCGACTCAAAAAGTAAAACCAACTTGCCTGTTTTGGCGACGTAAGGAAACCGTAGCTTTTATGTCTTCAATCCGAATTTCAAAGCTGATCAAACCCACACGGAGACTGTGGCTGCAGTTGTTCCTCCACCTGCAACCTCCAGGCCTCGCTGCTGTTGTCAGATCTCCAGTTGGAATGATGTTCAGCTCCAAAAAAGATGTTTTGACATCCGGCGCAAGAAGGACCAAAAAATGTTACTGCTAGTTCAGCCAGGTTTCCTTAAACAGTCGCCCGATGAAAGGAAGGAAATTACAAACTTAGATAGATATAAGAGAAGGTTTAATATATAAAACAGAATACATATAAAAGACAGGCAGAGAGAAAAGCCTGGGTCTGCACGGACGAGAGGCAAAGCACAAAAGACCACGCTGATAGTTAGGCCTCGCCTCTTATACCAGAGGATTTAAAACACATGTGACAATATGACCTATGAACTCTAGGTTAGAAAACAATCTTCTCATCCATCAGAAGAAGTGTCTTCTTGTATGAGACCAACTCAACCCAGATGTTTTCTGGCTTCATGCTTGTTTACTCTTCTCGTCTTTCACTCTTGCCTGGGGGCTGAAAGAATTCTGCATTCTCGCCACCCTCAATGCATTAGTTGGTTAACTGGACTAGATCCTACTAATCTACACACATTTATTAATATGATAATACACATAACATTTCTTGACACACTGGTTGGTCATTGTCCAAGGGCGCTGCTGAAAGGATGCAAGTTGCTAATGTGTTCGTTCAAGGCCACTATGAATATCACTCAGTAATGATTGTGATGTCACATGTTTACATTTGTCTCTTCAGTTGGCTGTCTCTTCCTCTTCAGTCTGAAGATGGGTGAAAGATACCCATTGACCATTTGTTTTCCCTCTTTGGTGAAATGAGCAAACCGTCCTCCATGCCTGAAGAAACAAATGATAGAATCCAGAAAAGCAACTGAAACAACTTTTTTTTTTGTCAAACAATTTCACAGGCTTTGGAATAAGCAACCAATAAAACATGTAATTGTCTGGTAGCAGTGTTGTTGAAGAAGATATATACTGTAGGGTAACTAACTGCATATATGTCTTAGATGTACAGTTATTTGGATACACTACATATCTCAACATATCTGCACGGTAGTAACTATTCCTTATTGGAAATTCCCTTATATCTACCTTTATAAGGGTGTGCTTGTTCTAAGAAAGGGTATCTCTATATTAGGCAAAATTAGACCAATCTGAAGAGAGGGAAAGAAAAGTCTCAAGACCCAACTAAAAGAATCAAGCGGGGTTTTAAAATCAATCTCATAAATATCTAAAAGTGTGAGTTCTATTCGCCAGAGAGCCCATCTTCCAAACTACTAACTAATAACACTGGAGGCTGATAGAGATTTAGCTGTTTATTTACCAAACGAAAACCTCAGAGCATAAGCAACTGTGTGACTCACAATTCAAAGAATGTGCACAATAACCCAAAAGCAGACACATTTAAACACATCGGTATTCAACGATACTGCTTACTGTGTGAAGGTTGCTTTTAGTAAAGTTTCTTTGTTGGTGGACACGTGGTCCGGCTTTGATCCCAGAAAAGTTTCTTTGTTGTTGTCTCCTAGTATACGGCTGTGTCAAAAATTCAAGAGGGCGCGCTCTGCATTCAGACTGGTTTTGTCTCCAGTCTTAGGGGCGGGTACGTTGTAGTCACTTCCTGTTTCCGGCTTTTCACAACACAGGAACTTCTGGGCATGAGACATATTAAACACAATTGTTTAAAGCACAAACACTTCAACAGACATCGTGACTCACACTTCAATAAAGATTAATGACAACAGAGATGCGGGTTTACATTTTAGTTGCATATACAGCACACTTAAGTTTGGAATGTGTGTAGTCCTTTGTTGCCGCTAGGGGGCACTAAAATCACAGTCTGAGAGTCCTGGTCTGGTAGATGGAACAGCAGCAACAACGGTTTGGATTCTCATCCTACATTCCCCCCCTTCGAATTGGATGTATCTCCAACATCCAGGACGAGGAACATCCAGGTCGTATTCCTTGAGGATGATGGCCGGCCCACAGTTGGTGATGTCGTCTGCTTGGGTGTGCTGTGTGAATGATTTGGGTTAGTGCATTTCTTTAGTCATGACTCAATGGCTGGCAAATGCTTTGCTGAGGGTTTGGTTTCTGGCTGTTAAATCACAAGGTTTACAGCTAGGTCTGCTGATAGTGAACTGCCCTAGAGAAACGTAGTTCATCTAATTCTATGTACTACTTCTAAGTGGAGCTTGGGAGAAGGGCAGGAGTGGGGAAAGCAAAATTAAAGAAGATGGGAACACAAGCAGTTAAGATATAAAAATTCACAATAGAATAAGATTTACAACTTAAATTTGAGTAAAACATTTTAAGATTCAAAAATGGTTTGGTGCACCTTCGGCGTATCTTGAAGGTGAGCTTGAGAAAGGAGAAAAGTGAGATGTGAGAAAGAAAGGGAAAACGTAAAAGCAATAATAAAGTAGAAACAAAAACAAATAAAAGTAAAAGGGGGTGCCTAGGAGGTGTTTTGGGTTTAAGGCACGTTTTGGTGACGGTAGCTCGAGTGAGGAGAGAGTGCGGAGTAAAAGGACATTACTTGTAAGCACACATCTATGGAAGGCATTGGTTGGTTAAATTGAGTTATTTAAGAAAAGGGTTTATTTTGTAGGAGCCGAGGGGCTTGGTGAACCCTAGATCTCGGACTGTGGTTTTGGCTGGGTTTGATCCACGGTTTTGGTCTGTGGAACAGAAACGGGGTGTCCCGTCTCAATCTGAATCCCCAGCGGGTCTTCATACTCTGGATTGCAAGTCTGAAGTCACCTGTGCAAGCCTTTTTGCTACAACGTTCTTACTTTGCGCAGACCTGCGTTTGTTCACGCGCCTAAGGGAGGAGTCTATTGGTTTTCACCACTGTGGACACGCTCATGTTAAAGGGGATGTCCACGGTGGCAAACACCAGAGGAGTGCTTCGATAGGTGGTGTTGAGTACTATTTATAGTGACCTTGAACCTCCTATCTGCTCCGGAGTGTGCTGTATGTTCTGTGGAGTGTAAGACAGAGTTTTAGAGGTTAGACAGTCAGGTTGGTAAGGTCTTTGGTTGGTTAGCTGAAAGGAGGGTTAGTAGACGCCTAATTGTGCTCAAAATCAGTGTGTTTTACTGTGAACCTTTGGTGTCCCCCCTTGTCCCATGGGCGTGTACCTTGCTGTTGTTGCCCACCTCACATGGTTTTGACCGTCGAGGTGGCGGTTTCCAGGTCCACTTTGTTGGACTGGTCTGTCCAAGAGAGTTGGACAGGGGTGAGGCGTCATACCTGGTTTTTAATTTGGCACTGTGTGGTGGTCTGGCCAGTTGGGGCTGGTCGCGCACCAGGCGTCTGTTGATGCCTTTTTGTTTATTTGGCTGGTTTGTTACCTGTTGTGGTGGTTGTTTGTGGACACCTTTGTCTTGCGGTTGTTACGTCATGACCTTGCGTTCTTCTACCCCCCCTGACGCTTTGGGGCACCACAAGCACCTGTGAAGTGAGTGCCTCAAAAGCGTAAAATGGCAGTCTATGACGTAACCGCGTTTTGGCATTTGCATTGGTTGAGATTGTTTTGGGCGTGACGGTGAAGCTTTTAGCTTCTGCGTTTGGTTTAGTCACGTCTGGTTTTGGGGCGGTCATTGGCTGGCCTGCCGCGGCGTAGGGCTGGGCGCTGCCAGGCGGCCATGGCATGGGGAGGGGCTTTTGAACCTGTGCCCAGATATTTAGGTGCTGAAAGTCTATGAGCGGCTCAAAGCGATTCAGCAGGTCCCGTCCGAGTAGGAAGGGGATCGAATTGATTGGCGAGACATATATTGGGTGGACCAATTTCATTGGCCCCACCGACAAATGTATCAGTGCCATTTTGGTTAGTGTAGTTTTAACGTTCGAGTAGGGGCGTATTGCCATGTGGCACGGCTGTGTGGTTAGTTCTTTGTGAGACTTTTTTGCGAGCTTTTGTAACTTACCAAAGAGATAGCTGGATATCAGACTGATGTCTGCTGCCGTATCCATCATAGCGTCCTGTTTCCATTGGTCCTCGAGAGTCACCGGAAGGTGGAGTGTCCTGTTTGCTCCTTTGAGTCGCAAGTTTCCAATTGACGTTTGGGCAGGTGGTTCGCACCTGACTGTGGGGGGAGTTTTCCCCCCAGTGTCGGTGTAGGAACTTACCTGTACCACCATAACGTCCTTTTGGGGAATGTATTGACTGTCCTCTAGCCAGTCAGGGTCCCAAGTGTCCGTGTCGACCTGTGATTGTAATACAGTCTGATTTAGTGGTTCAGCACCGTCAGTGTCTGTGTAGTCAAGGTCGTCGGAGTCGTATGGACTATCTTTTTCTGTAAGGGAGTCAGCTTTGTTTGTCGTTTCACCGTTTGTTTTACGAGTGAGTATTTGGAGGAGCTGTTCCTCTTCCCAGGTGAGGTTGTCCAATTGATTATGGTCTTCCCCCATCCGGTTTTTAAATGTACCTGAGGGTTGTTTGGGGACATTGTTTTGAGTCCCGCTATGTGGGTGGGGGCCGGTGCTGTTTGTGGAATAGCGCTGGCTTCTGCCCTGTGTGTGCCTGTTTTTACGTGGCGTTGGCCTGTGGGAGTTTGACTTTTCCTGGTTGGCCTTACGTGCTGTTTTACGCAGCTGGTGGGCGGGGGCGCTCTTTAGTTTAGAATGTTTACCAACACTGTAGTCTGAGGGCGCCTCCGGTGGTTGGTTGTGGGATCTCATTGTGTGAATACTTTGGGCTCTGGCTACCAGAGTCCTCAGCTGCCGCATGTTTTGTGTAACAGGGCATGCATTCACACCTAGGAGTAGGCTGAGGCTGGGGTGAAGGTTTTGGATGAACAGGGCTTTAAAGTGTTTGTCCTCCTCCATATTTTGGTAATTTTGGTTACCGAAGTATTCCTGTCTCAGTCTGTGATAGTAAGCGTCTGACGGCTCGTTACGGGCCTGTCTGACGGTTAGGGCTGCAGTGAGTGTACCAGACGTTCCAAAGTCAGAGTATTCGTTGAGGAGGGCCTGACAGAGATTGTCGTAGTTTTGCCGTGTGGCGGGCGACTGTCTGTCTATAAAGTTATTAACTTCCCTGTTGGACGTAAGTTTTATTAAGAATACTTTGTCCTCTAGAGATGCATTGAGCAAACGTTTAGAGTAGAAGTCAATGTCTCTGAGGTACGACTGGGGGTCTGCAGGGTTTCCCGGTTGGGGTTCAAAGCGGTAAATGTGGCGGGCAATGCGGTCAAAGTCACGGATTGTTGGTCCGGGGTAGTCTCGACCTTGTATTGGGACATGCATTTGGCGCTCGCGGGGGCAGGTGGGGGGTGGGCTATAGGGGTCACGTCTCCTATAGTCTTGGCAGTCCTGTCGGCTAGTGGGCGGTACGGGTCTTACATCCGGGAAGTCTGGGTACCTGGGGCACTGTGAGCGGTCACTGTAAGAGTCTTGTCTGTTGTGACTTAGCGGGTCCCTGGGGGCTTCCTGGCAGTGGGCCGGTTGCCGGTAGCCGTGGTAGTCAGGTGGGTCCAGTCCTCTGTCTGGGGGTTCCGGTCTGTTACTGTACCTCTGACTAGGTGGGCAGTCATAGTGGTCGTAGTTTGACCTGGTCCAGTTTGGGTACCTACCATTTATGTTGGACCGTGTTGGTTGGTTAGGGCCTGTATTGGCCCAAGACGTCCTGCGGTCGTGGTGTTCCTGCACATGGGGAGATTAATGTCTAACCTGTGGGAGGTCTTCCGTGGACTTCTGCACACTTCCTTCGGGCTTAGTCCTGGCGGGCTCAGGTCCTTCGTTTGTGGGGACCCTGTAAAAGTAGTCTTCTTTTGAGCCGTTAGTGAGGGTACTTACCTGTGCGGCCAGGCGTATTACTTTTGGTGAAGGTGAGGTTGTGCACAGCTCGGGCTGGTGGACCCCATTGTTCTGAAGGTATTGTTCCTTGAGGTGTGCAACAGTTTTGTGAGTTTTAATTAACTCATACGCGATAGCGTCCCTTTCCCTTTCTATGGTTTTGATCTTTTCCTGGAGATCCTTAGCTTTAGCATCGCTTTTTTGCAGATACTGCTGGGACAGTATGGCTAATTTACCCAGCCACAGGGTGAGGTTCTTACCTTCGAGTGCATTTGTTGTGGCGTCAGTCGCCAGGTGTCGTGCGGTCTGCTCTAGTGTGGGGGCCGTAGCCCCATCAAATTGGTTCCAGGTCCCTGGAATCAATTTAGCAGCAAAGGTTTGTAAAAGGTTAATTACAACATCATTCTGTTCCCGGTTTGGCTCTGAAGTTACACAGAAGGGTCTGGAGGGGTCCAGCTCTTCCATGTTAGGGTGACTGTGTGATGTGAATTGTTGTGGGTGTGATTTTGAGCATGTATCAGGTAGCTTCTGGGTTAGTGCGAACAAGTTATAGCAGTTTAGACCAGCGTGGTAGAGAGCGGGTTAAACAGCAGAGGTGCAGCAGAGTTGTGTGTGCGTGTGTTTGGAGACGTCAGTCCTGGGGCAGTTGGGTGTGCGTCAGGATTAGTTTGTCAAACCACACGCGCGCTGGTCAGTTGCTAGCTTGTAGCGGTGTTAAACAGTATTAAGAGTTAGTACAATAACAGTGTCAGCTTGGCCAGTGAATAGCTTGTAGCGTGTTGCACAGCAGCGGTTCAGCATTTGCACAACAGCAGAGTTTGCATCACACGTTCATCAGTACAACGTACACGCACATGCAGCCCGCGGAAATTCAATTTGGTAGACGTCAGCCAAAGTTACCCCCTCCAGGCCGGTTCGCATCCCCAGCCTATCGCACAGCAAACGCCCCCTTCCAATCACCCGTACCGGCCAGGCCAGCCGCTTAAAAGCGGAGAAACTCCCACTTCACGGCCTCTCGAAGCCTTGCAGTGTATGCTAGCTAACCGCGCCTGTACACCATGCAAACTTCAACAACCGTCCGCGCGCCAGCGTCTCCTGACGACTCGGCGCCTGACTCCCCTTCCATCCTCCTCCGCAACGTCTCGCCTATGCCCCCCAGCCCTCGTAAGAGCGTGCGTCTGGCTTCCAGGGACCCAGGGTTGGTGCGCACCTACCTCGCAGCGCGGGGTGTCGTGCCCGGCCCCGACGCGACGTCGCTCCAGCTCCAGAGCCTCTTCGATCAGCTGTCGGCGGGCTCTACCTCGCCCCTCCGGCATTCGGTTCCCCCTCCCCGCAAACGTCAATCCAAGACAAAGCACACTCAGGCGAAGCGCGCCTGCCTCCCGCGGCCTCCCGCGGCCTCCCCTCGCGGATTCTGGGCCTTCCCCTGGATCCTCGGGTTCTTCTGCTGCGGCCTCCCGGGCTCCTCCACGCGCTCGTAGGCCCCGCTCCGCCGGCGCACCTACGGCGGTCCCGGCGTCTTCTTAGGTCGTTCCTCCCGTGGCTGCTCCCCTGGCAGGTCCCGAGGATGCCGCCGCTGCGGCCCAGGACCGCGCTCTTCTCTGCGCGCGCACGGACGCCATTCTGTCCGCTGTCTCCTCTCTCCAGCGCACCGTGGCTTCGGTGTCTACGCGGCTTCGTGCCGTCGAGTACCAAGCTCCCGCCGCTGTCCCGGCGGTTTTTCCTGCCGTTGTCCCGGTGCCCTCTCCTACGGCGGCGTTTCCCGTGGACTCCCACGAGGCCGGCTTCTCCCTCGGCACCGCTGTCTCCGCTCCTGCGTCTGGTAGGCCCTACATTCATGCTTTCTCCAATGTGTCTCCGCGCCTCCATTCCAAGATTCTTTTGGGGCGCTATGTCAACCTGGTCTCCCTTATTCTTCCCTCTCCCGAGTGCGACCGGCAGGTGGCCGCTTCGGACCTCATCACCGCGGTCGTGAAGACTGCGGATCCCCGGTTGTCCCGTGAGCTGAACATTGGGGAATTCCTCGTCGCCTTCGGGGTCTACCGCGACGTGATATGCTCCGTGTACCCTGAGCGGAGGCCTGAGCTGGACTCCTATCTATGCCTGATGGGGGGACCTGTCCCTCCGGTACGGAGGCAGCATTTTTTTTTTTTTTATCGTTACCACAGGGCTTTCGCTGCCAAGGCCGCGGCCCTTATCACCCAGGCGAACTTCAGAGTGGACTGGGCGACGCTGGACACCGAGGTGCTGCTCCTGTCCATCGGCGGTACCCCCGCAGTTTCCTGCTCCCGGTGCGGCGCTTCGGGACACACGTCCCCCCTCTGCCCGGGCATCCCCTTCGGACACGGTGGGGGCGAGACGTCCAGACTTCAAGACTTGCGCGTATGTAATAGATTCAACATGAGCGTGTGCTCCTTTAACCCGTGCTCTTACCTCCATGCGTGCAGTGTGTGCAGGGAGGCCCACCCACGCTTTCTGTGTCCAGGCCCCCCTTCACTCTGTTCCGTTCCAACCCGTTAGGCATCGCCACCCGTCAATACTCTGGGAAGAAGCGTCTTATTTTCAACCTCTCCTGTCCCCGCTCCGGGCCCACCCCAAGCATCAACAGTCTCATCCCTCTAGCACCCTTCTCCCTGCAGTACGCTACTGTGGACCATGCGATCAGGCTTATAAAGACTTTCGGCCCCGGCTCCTGGCTTTCCAAGGCCGACATCACGGACGCGTTCAAGCTGCTGCCCATCCACCCCGACCACTGGCACCTGTTCGGGGTAAAGTGGCGTTCGGAGTTTTTCTTTGCCGTGCGCCTCACTTTTGGCTGCCGGAGTAGTCCCTCTCTATTTAATAATCTTGCGGAGGCGCTGTGCTGGATCCTGCTAAATTATGTACGGCTCCCCTCCGTCCTGCATCTCCTCGATGACTTTCTCGTGGTAGACCCACGGCTCCGGGAGCTCTCTCCGCAAACTCAAGCTCGCTTTCTCCGCCCTAGGAGTCCCCCTCTCCGAGGAGAAGACCACAGGCCCCGCCACCGCTCTGGAGTTTCTCGGCATCCGCCTCGACACACGCGCCATGGAGGCCTCCCTCCCGCTGGACAAACTCGAGCGCATCCGCGCTATCTCCCGGTCTGCCCTGTCATCCCTGTCACTTTCGAAGCTTCGGTTGCTCTCCCTCCTCGGGCATCTTAATTACGCCATCCGCATCATTCCTCAAGGTCGTTCTTTCATCTCCAGACTCCTCTCCCTCGCCGGCTCCGTCTCCTCCCTCAATGACGCGGTCTGCCTGGACGCGGGGTGCCGCCCCGACCTGGCGTTCTGGTCCCGCCTGCTGAGCCGCTGGAATGGTGTCTCCTTTTTCTACAGTGACGTCGTCCTATCCTCGGATGCCCTGCGGTTCTTCACAGACGCAGCCCCGTCCGTGGGTTTTGGGGGTTCTTTCAGGACCAGTGGTTCGCCGGGCCCTGGCCCAACGCCTTCCCTCAAAACATCTCCTCCGCGCTCCACGAGATATATCCCGTGACCGTAGCCTGCGCGCCGTGGAGCCATACGTGGCAGAGGAAAAGGATTTCCGTGATGTGCGACAACCTCGACGTGGTCGAAATAATCAACAGAGGTCGTTCATCCTCTCCCCAAATCATGACTTTTCTTAGACGTATCACATGGCTCTCAGTCCTGAACAATTTTATTATCACTGCTCGTCACGTCCCTGGTCACCTTAACTGTATCGCTGATTCTCTCTCTCGTTTCAAATTCCAGGAGTTCCGACGCCTCTGCCCTTCTGCCAACCCATCACCATGCCAGATCCCCTGCATGGAATCCCTCGCCCTGGACTAGTCCCTCCGTCTCTTCACCTCCTCATCTCCTCCGCTGCATCCTACATGAAGATGGGCCTCTCACCTTCCACACTGAAATCATACAGTTTCGCTTGGAAAGTCTACTCCAGCTTCTGTCACGCCCACTGCATTCCACTCATTCCGCCCTCTGCTGTCACTGTCTGCGCCTTCATAGTTCACTGCGCGGATAACCTCCACTATAAAATCACCTACATTCGCTCTCTATTCGCCGGGATTCAATTCCAGGCCCGCTGTCACAACCCCGCTTTCTCCTCTCTATTTTCTGATCCGTCAATCAAAATCGTCATCAAAGGCATTCACAATCGCACCCCGCATTCCTCGGACCACAAGCGCCCCATCACACTGTCCATTCTCCACCAGCTCTGCGCCGCACTCAGCTCCAGCCCGCTCTCAAAGTACGCCATCGCCCTCTTGTCCAGCGTCTTCCTCCTCGCTTTTTACGGCTTCTTACGCATAAGCGAATTCACTAACCCCCACGCCACCTTTAATGCAGCCCAAGACATTGCCTTCTCCGACCTGTCTTATTATCCCGACTACTTCAACCTCCACCTCAAGCATTCCAAACGCAAAGGCGCTTGCAATATACTCATAGCTCGGTCTGACACTTCTCCCTGTCCCTACAGATCCATGATGCATTACACTCGCCTCCGCTCTCGGAAAGGAGATCTCAACGGACCGTTATTTCTCACTCCCGATGACCTTCCAATGTCATCCAACTGGTTCAGAGCCCAACTCAAGTCCATACTGCTGCTTTGTAACCCTTCTCCCCATCTCTACACAGCCCACTCCTTCCGGATAGGCGCCGCCACGCGCGCTGCGTCCCTGGGGCTCCCCCATTCTGCCCTCCAGCAGCTGGGCCGCTGGTCATCATCGGCCCTCTCCTCATACATCAGGCCTGACACTTCGACCATTCTGGCAGCCCAGCGCCTCTTGGCATCTCCATAAAACACTCGCAAAACTTCCTGGTGGCGGCAGCAGCTGAGTATCCGCAAGTAATGGT